CCCGATGATAGGTTCAAAGCTACAAAATTACTATGCAATTACTAAATAAACAAAATGGCTCTTTGGATGTACGCATGAGGTGTGCTGCAGGTTTTTACGTCTTTTCACTCTCGTTTCTCGTCCCTAGGTGCTTCAGATACCGTGGACTACGGCACGCAGGAGACCTCAGAGTTCACACAACTGAGGGAAAGGCCAGCAGCTGGACCGGAGGCACTCCAGGAGGGAAGCACTCGAAAGTCACTCCTCATCCTAGCTCTCATTTTTGTGTGTGCCTTGGTAGCCTTGGGGGTGGTGTATTCCAGCTTTCCACAGCTGGATAAGTGAGTATTTTTCTTACTGCCAGGACGTAGGAGCAGGGTGCCCTGTAGCCTGTCATCCGTCCCATCAGATCTAGTCAGGCGTCCTGCTTCTATTGTTGGAGGAAGAGGAGAAGGAGGGCAGCATTTATTTTTGTGTGTAGTTAAGGTTGTGGTTGTTTTTGTACTTAGGTGAGTATTTTGTACTCTAATTTTTAAAGTTTAAATTCTTTGCATATTGTCTGTTTTGCAAATTATTAATGATAAGTGTTATGTAGGCCTCATAGTTTCTGATTTCAGTTACATTTATCGATTGCAGCTGTGTGAAATACTGTGTTAAGGCAAGCAGCTTCAAGACAAAGATGGCATGAAATATGACTATGATAGACTCAGATAGATAGATGTATGACGAAATTTACTATGATGGTATAATAATACTGACCGACCGCATTCAATTTCTTTCTGTAGAAGTGAACGAGAATAGTTTCGTACTACTAGTCTGTAATGATGGGGCTTTTCACTGCTGACATTATAGACCTCAATACATTTCCTCTCTCTCTATTCTGTGTGTGTTTTGAGTTCTCAAGCATGTCTTTGGTGGTGAAAGTAAACTACTTGTTTGTCTCTTTTCTGTATTTTAAAAAAAAAGTTGGCCAAACAGGTTCCATTTCTGTAAATTTTTTAAAAAGTTGGCCATACAGGTTCCAATAAGCATTCAATATAATACATGATACTTAAATGTTTAGTGGGTGGTTGGCGGGTGCTCTTGTGTGGTTTGCTTCTTCTTTCCTATCAAACATATCTATTGTCTTTATCTCCCCTCCTTTTTCGTGTTTGTTATTCTCTTGTTACACCTCTAATCTTCGGCACTTATACGACCTTATTGTGTTCCAAGTGCTGTAAAATACTTACTATAACTTTTTTTTTTTTTATGTTTAAAGTTGCTCTAAAGTAAATTTTTGATTGATTATGACTGAAATGTTTTTTGATTGGTCACTGGAAATGCATTTTTGAGAGGAGGTTTCTGACTGGTGTTTGAGTGACTGCTTGTAATGTTTAGTTACACCTAGGCCTATGATGCACAACACGCGTGAATGCTGTAAAACACTACATTGACTTCTATAGTAAGATTAAAGATTAGTCAAGTAAGCCTAATCAGCTGCGCTCGAAGAACTTATAACGTACTTGTTCAATGAATCACAAGAGAAATGTTTCATTGAATGTAGAGATCTACGATTCTGATTTTGTTCATGAATACAGCCTGTTCAAACACAGAAGAGTTCTTTCTCTTTCGAATTCCCCGAGGTTGAAGCCAGTTTGAGTTGATTAGAAGTGAAAAAATGTCTTCGAAACGAGTATTTATAAAGAGATAATAATAATAATAATAGATAGCATTTGTATAGCGCATATCCCCGCTCAGCAGCAGGCTCTATGCGCTTTACACTATATTATTACCCCAGCAGACCATAGAACACTCCGAAACATTCTCAGCTTCGCGGGAAGATATGGGTGGCGGCTCCAGTCCAGGGGATAGGATCAGCTGGTATGGGGCCTGTCCTGAAGTTGTTAAGTGAGAGGTTATAAGTTATGTTCTGTTTTTTTTGCTGTTGTATAATTTTTGGACTTTGCCTTTCCTTATCTTTTTTTCAGAGATGAGTTGCAATATATTAAACTTCCCCGCGATATAGAGGATGCGAAAAACCTTGGGCGACTTTTACATCGCTACAATGACAAATACTTCTATGAAGTACTCTCTGGATATTTTGTCGTTTTCATATTGTATCCTTTTTCCAAGCTTGAACTGACTATATATATGTTTCGAAGTTAGTTGATTTTTTTATTCCAACTTTGTTTCTGTGTGTGTGATGATATATGATTATGTGAGGAGGTTGCGGTGATTGAAAGATTCTGTGGTTCTGTAGGAACACTTAAAAACAAACAAATCTGAGATAAATTTTTTTTTAGAGTTGCTGATTTTATGAAAATAGGAATTTCTGAAATTGTCAAAATTTTGCCTTCGTATACATTTATTTATGTTTTAATTTTCTTGTCTGTGCATGAAATATTGCACTTTATATAGGAATAGTCTCGATATAAGATGAATTAGTATTGGACAGTATATAGTCTGTAAACTAGGAGTCTGATCTGTGCACGTTTTTTTAATTCATTTGTTTTGTGTAACCAGTTGGCACTGTTATTTTACCAGATTCTTTGTTTGCTGTCAGCTGCATTTCCTTTGTTATGTCGAGTTTTCCTTAACTATTATTTTCAGTTTGCAAACTTTTGCTATACCAGGTTCTATATTTCTAAGTATAATATCTGGGTTCCTGTACCCATTTCTACTAGCCCTGCCATTAGTGTGTACAGTGAGTATAAACTTTTTATTCTCCGTGTAGTTTGTGAATGTCGTGATGACTTTTTATATAGGTATTGAGCACAGAGTACCTATCTTTTGCTTTTATACAGCTGAAGTTAATTTCTTCCTCGTATTATATATATTTATATATTTCAGAAGTAAAATGTGAGTCCTAGTTTGATTATCAATGAGTGTGAAAGCAGTACCTTATTTACTCCATTCAAAAGTAGAGTAATTCTTACTTTAATTTTTTGTTGTCTTTTTTCCAAGTTCTGAAGTGTGTCAAATGTATCTTTGTTCTGTATTTGTAAAAGGGTAACGTTCACTCTCAATGCTCAATCATATTTCTAATGTATGATGTTGTATAAAACACACACATATCTTTGTCCAAATGCTATATTAAAGATTATTTTTGTAAAAATAATTAAAGATTTTTAAAAAGTAAAAAATCTTCAGGAGAATAAGGTCTTAAATTTAAAAACTGTTTCGTCTTAACCTGGATATTTTGGCTTTCACACTCCTTGTTCGTCACTTGCTGAACGTTCATCACTTAATGTTTTGCTCTTTATCTTTTTTTGCCTGTTTCAGTGTTCTGCTCTAGGAGCATCTTTCTGTTATTTGTTGTCATACATGGTGGGCAGACGCGTTGTACAGAAATATTTCCCTCAAAGGGCAGCCGATTGGAAAAGACATGTGAGTATCGGTTTGAATACTGTAGTAATTTTGGGCTTTCAAGGAGGGTGGCTGGAGGGTGTCCTGGTGTGGTTTGGTCGTTCTTCCCTATCGAACCTCTATCATCGGTATATCAAACCTCCCTCTTATGTTTGTCTGTTACTCTCTAGTAACACCTCAAATCTTTGGCAATAATGTGACCTATTTGTGTTGTTAATGCCGTAAAACTCTAACTTAAAAACTTAATTAAAGGTGAACCTCTCCTGTTTCTAATTTGCTATTGATAAATAGTTACAACAGGGGCACAGAGTGCCGTTTATGCATTTTTCCTTGTTCTTGTCAGTCTTGGTTTTCCCTTGACTTGTTCTGATTGTGTTAATAACACATTGTAATCAGTTCTGATAAGAACCACCGCTCTGATGTAAATTCTTTATCAATCTTTTACTTTTATGTCTTGTTTGTTTAATTTGTGTCCTGACATGGTGGAATCGGCGCTTATCATTTTTTGGGCTTATGGAGTTATTGGTATCATCTTGTTGCTTGTTTATTTGTCTTGCTTCAGTGGGGGGGGGGGGGGGGGGGGGGAATGCTCGTCTATCTTTGATAAAAGTTGAGTTATTTGCGGTTGAAGGAGGTGAGAGTCTCCTGCTCCTAGTGTCGAGGTAAAATTAACAAGATAATGGCTGCCAGAGTTTAGTGAATTCCAAAAGTTTGGTAGTCTTGGGAAACTGTGAACCCACTTTTTTTTGTGCCTTTGATCAGTAAAATCCACACAAAAATGGGTTTTTGAATGGACATTAAAAGTGCTGAGCCCCCCCCCCCCCCCAAAAAAAAAAAAACCTGATAAAAATTGATGGGCGGAAAAATGTCAGTTTCTCCTATTTCATTATTTTGACGAGTGCCCGACATTTTTTCTTTACTCTCCAAGATTGTTGCTTCTGTTTCTTTGCAGGTTGATAACCATCGTGAGCATTTGTTCAACTACATCCTCTTTTTGAGAATCACCCCTTTCCTGCCGAACTGGTTCATCAACATCACCTCACCAGTGATCGACGTTCCACTTTTCACATTCTTCCTGGGCACCTTGTTTGGTAATGTTTTTTTAAATATATTTGTTCTTTACTCTTACTGTCATTTTGAGCTGGAACATTGACCCGAAACTCTCTCTGAGTGGGTGGTTGGCGGGTGCTCTGGTGTGGTTTGCTCCCTCTTTCCTATCCAACATCTACCATCCTTATCTCCCCTCCTTCTTTTTATGTTTGTTACTCTCTTGTAACACTTCTTATCTTCTGGCGCTCATATGACCTTATGCAGTTGAGAGCGCCGTAAAACCTCTGCTAAAACAAAACAAAACTCTCTCTGAGGCTTTATTTTCTCCTTTGTATTTATTACCCTGCTGTCTGATTGAAGGAGTAGCTCAAAGCTACACTCCTTTTTCTTTTTCTGTTAAGTGGCTAGCATGCCTCAAGTTGAACACCAGATATCTAGCCACAGGGAATAAATAAAGGCTTGTGGCTTCACTTGCAAATGGGCTGAGCCTTTATTCTGCCGCCGCGGGGGACTTTGTCTAGCCTTGATGTGGATGCATTGATGTGAGGCAGTATTCAGCAGTTGTTGCTACGGCATCTGTAAAAATGTGGTTTGTTCTGACAGTTGTCTCTTTGCATGCTCAAACCAGCTGAAGCGATTGGGTGGTTGGCGGGTGCTCTGGTGTCGTTTGCTCCTTCTTTCCTATCAAACATCTTTATCTCACCTACTTCTTTTTTGTGTTTGTTACTCTTTTGTAACACCTCTAATCTTCGGCACTTATATGACCTTATTGTGTTGCAAGTGCCGTAAAACTTTTACTAAAACTAAACTAACAGCTGAAGCGACATTGGTTAAAAAAAAAAAGAAGCTGTCTCTTCTAACGGTGAGCTCTTTGCTTGCTCAATGCAGGTTGGGCAGCACTGGTTAAAAAAAATTAGGTTTTTTATGAAAGAAGATTGTCTTTTGTTTGCTCAACCCAGTTGAGGCGACTTTGTGTTTTTAAAAAAATGTGATCTCTTCTAACAGTTTAAATCTCTTTGCTTGCTCAATGCAGGTTGGGTAACACTAGTAAAACAATGAACGGACACACTGCACTGAAGTAAATACTAAAGGAAGTCACTCTAAGTGATAACTGAATGGTTGATGAACCTCTATGAATTTTTATAGTGTGTTTCTTCTGCTGCCAAGGTTTTTTAAACTATAAAAAAAATTTACCACGGCTTCAGCATTCTGAACTGGTGTGGTAATTAAGGGTTTTTCACTACATGAATCTTCGCTACTGTAATTGTTTACCCAGTTGAGGCGAAATTGTGGAAAAAAAAATTTGGTCTCTTCTAACAGTTATCTCTTTGCTTGCTCAGCCCAAGCGAGACGACATTACTAATAATAAATGCGATTTCTTTAAAGGTTTTCTCTTTGTCCGCTCTATCCATCTTAAGCATTTTCTGTTCCTACAGGCCTATCCTTCTTAAGCTTTTAGTGTTATTTTTATTATAGTTGTTTTGTGCATATTGCCTACGTCTGAATGAAAATAGAATGAAAATAGTCTGTGTGTGTGTGCATAAATATATAATTCATGAGAATAAAGGAAGTAGTAAGAAAGGTTTTCAAAATGAAATGGGTATTCCAATGTAAAGCGCATTGAGCTATATATTTTTTTTTAATGCACTATATAAATGTTATATATTATTATTATTATTATTATTATTGTTTATCCAGGTGTGGCCCCTCCGTCCTTTGTGTTCATCCAGGCGGGCACCACGCTGAACAAACTGACGTCTACCTCGGAGGCCTGGTCCTGGATGAACATCGGCCTGCTGGCTGTCTTCGCCCTGGTGGCTCTCCTCCCCGTTGTGCTCAAACGTCAGCTGAGGGCCAAGCTGGAGTGAGCACGACTCGGGGGGGGGGGGTCTTCTTAGAGAACGGTCAACTCATGAATCTTTTATTTTATGTGTCGGGTGGATTTTTTTCTTTTAACACGGATAAGTTTGGAAACTTTAGTTTTATGTTTGTATCTATGATGCGAAACACAGTGGAGACTGCTCAAACTGAACTCGGTTCATCTGATAGTGTTTTGTTTTGCTTGGGGCTCTGAGACTTGGTTCGATACTTGAAACAAAAATCTTTATGTGTCTGGAGTTACTGTGGCTCTATTGCGGAGAACATCTTGTGATGGGTCATGTAAAATTTTTTGGCCTTTGATAAGTTTTGAAAACTAAATTGAATGTTGTTTTAAATATATTTATGTTTTTTAATAAGGGCTGCTTAGATGTGTCTTGTGCTGAAAGAGAACTCAGGATTTTCCTTCAATTCTCGAAATTATTAGAGACAGATGCATTTCGAAACACAGTGGAGTCTGGTCAAACTGAACACAGTTAATCTCAAAACAGCGGTACACCAAAGTAGAATAAATTCCGGGTGCTTTTTTTTTCTTTCTATTTAAGCAACATTTCTAAACAGAAGAAAATCTGTGGTCCAGCTTGTTTCGGTTTCAGCAGTTTTCACTGTAATTTTTTTGCTTTTTAAATTTTAGTTTTGGTTCAAAACTAAAAACCACATTTACTTTATTTGCGTAAAGTTCTTGTGGGTTGAGTCGTTGTTCAAACTGAATGTCGCTCGTCACACTTATGTAAGTGGTCAGGCAGTATTAGATGCGTACTTGAACGTTGTAGGGTTCTTCTCGTGTTGTGGATATTTGTTCCTTGAAGGGTGTGATCTGACCATCATAGAGTTGAGAAAAGCCAGAACTTATGTAGGTGTCGACCGATTCAACTTGGAACAGATGGGTGACTGGAAAAGACCTCGATGGTTTACGTTTTTTGAGAGCATCTGAGGGAAATGACTGGTGGTGAGCCATGGTCGCCAGTGTCTCATGTCAGCTCTGATACTTGAACAGAAGAAGAAAACGTTGACTTCATCTTTTTCTTTTTATACTTTCAAACAGTACTTTTATACTGTTTTCAAAGACAGTCTGACAGTAGGTCCCCCATGGTTTGCACACACTGTGCAGTGCAGTCCGCTTCAGATCATCGAGACTGTGCGGTCCCCCATGGTTTGCACACACTGTGCAGTGCAGTCCGCTTCAGATCATCGAGACTGTGCAGTTTTCTCTCCAATGGTGTAGCAAATTGCCTAGTCTGTGCTCTTTGTGTTATGAAGCGTGTACTGTACTCCAGGATAAAGTGGCTGTTCTCAGGGCCCTAGCCACTGTGACAGAAGAGTGTGCCACCGACTTAAAATTTGGAGTGCATGTGCTGACTCCGTCTGTCATGGTTGCAGCAGTGTCGGAAGATTGTGACCCAATCTGCCCTTCTCTGGAGGTAAAAAGTTGACAAATGTTTCAGAAGGAAAGGAGAGTTTAGTTAATATGACGTTCAGTTTCATCATACTGCCTCATATTCGAAGAATTCAATTTTAATTACAATTAATGTTCGTTTATTAGCTTTTTGAAGTTTTGTTTCTATTTTCATTTTCATTATTGGATGTAGTTGAGCTCTCAGACTGGCTGAAAACACATCATGTTATTTGTCAATACACCTTTTTTAATTGTTAAACTTCATGCACTTTCATCCGTTCATTCACCATTGGCAAAAGTTCCCAAGTAACTTGCAATAACTTTGATATAGATCTGTTAAGTTGGAACCGAAATGTTCAAATTTGTATTGGGTTACATTGAAGTGATCTGAATACAGCAGTGGATGCTGACATATTTTTGTTTCTTTCATGCATGGTCACTTGAGCACACATAGAATATGCAATGGCGAATAATTAAATGTCATAATTATGTTCACTGAAAGTGCCATGGACTAATACAGGCATGGGCAAGAGTGCAAGTGGCAGGCCTGAGTAAGTGATTTTGAATATCTAGTGGGTCAAAAGCATGAGACATTTAGGTGAAATTGGTTGAAAGGCCCAAACTCTCAAAAGTGAGACTAAAACTGACACGGAATCTTATGTTACACAAGGGCATTTCATGAGAAGAAATGTTAGATCTATTGCCTTCAGGCGGGCCGCAAACCACTACTTGTGTTTTTCAAAATGGACAGTTTTGTTTATATTAATTATATATCAACTTTCAGTGGGCCATATTCACAATTAATTTCAGGGTTGACTTGCGGGCCGGACTGAAATTGCTTGCAGGCCGTAGGTTGCCCATGCCTGGACTTATTCTTTCTATATATTTGGTATAATGTTGTGGCAAACAATACTCAGCTTTTTGCAAGTCGGGACAGAATTAGAAAATGTTTCCTACAGCTCATCAGTAGTCAGTATGATTTGTAATGTGTTGGTGTGTGAGTAACATTTCCTTTGTGCAATGTTGTACGGATCTGTCCAATTCCGCAGTGACTGGGTGTCTGTTTTTTTTTGTGGTCTTTTTGAAGATCTCTATGTTGTTGCACATCAACTTGAAATCAGAAATTGTATTTATTTATTTCATGTGAGAGGAGGTAATGCATGGCGCCTGTGTGATCTTTTACTTCTTGTACGGAGCACACCGGAGCACATCGGATGGATGTTAAAAAAACTCAACAAATGTATTGTCGTTTTGCTCACCATGTATGGATGTAACATTAACCAGTGAGTTTCTTTGTGATACTGTACCGGCTTGCCAACCGTCCCAAATGTTCCCGGGATTGTTCCAGGGATTGTTCCCGATTCGGCAATCAGAAATTTGAGAGTCTTCATTCGTACGCATCACTAAAACCAGTCCCACTTGGATGTAATTTTGTGTGCTGTTTTGTAATCTAAAGGTTTTATAATCTAATGTTTTTTAACTTTTGGGCGTCTCTGACTGGGTTTTGAAAAAGTTGGCAAGCCTGTACTGCGTAACCGCTCCCCAACCTGTTGACTGCTTCAGATGTCGTAACGTTTATGTAGAGACGGGTGTAAGCATGGCTTTTTGTATGCGCGGTGTGTCATCATCATCATTGCCTTTTTTTCTGCCTTGGATCAGGGTATAGGTATAGGCCTCCGACAAACATTTTCCACTTTTCCCTGTCTTGGGCGAGCTTCTTGACTTTATATACTCCCATGTCTTTCCACGGTCTGTATTTCATTCTCTGTGACGCTTTATTCAGGTTTCACATGGCCTTCCCCTTGATCTTTTACCCTGTGGATTTCTATCCAAAACTTTCCTGCATAGAGTGTACTCACTTTGAGAACTTGATTAGATGAGTGACCAGGAAAATATAACATTTTCTAAAGAGCATCTGAGCGAGGACATGAGTCGCAAACCATGATGGCAGTAATTCTTTTCAGATTAGCATGTGAAGAAGAAGAAAATTGTATTTGCTTGGCAAAATAAAAGTTTAATTGCCAAAAACGCATAAAAGTATTATATTTAGCATAGATCATGCATGATGTACAGGAAAGTAAGTTTTGACCTTTACATTCGTCAATGAACAAGATTGAAAATGTCAGCCATTTAAGCGAATTTTGTAAATTAAATAGTCTTCCCCAACATGCAGAAATGTGGGGGTTTGGATCAAGTCTGAATTTTTTATGTTCCATTTGGAATTTTTTGGCTTTGATGTTAAGGAAATAGTGTCTAGATCTAGTCAGATTTCGGGGGTTTCCAGAAATCTTGAGCTATCCAAAAAAATGGCAATTGCCCTACCTATAGGAGAAGTTTGGTTTCATTGGTGTGTATATTTGTTTGGCTATAGAGAAAACTCTCCTTGTCTTTTAGTGAAACAGAACATGGAGCTAAAACTTTACCTTCGATTTTCGATTTTCTCAAAACAGCATTTTTCGGGATAGCCCACTTGTCCTTAAAAGCAACCACATGTTTAAAATTAGACTTAATTTGGTGGTGAAGAGGTGCTCTGGAGTTTAGGGTTTTTAGACAGCCAATGAGAGACCATGTGCCCTTGTTTGTTGTGTTAAATGCATTGTCCTTGATTTATTGTGTTGTTCCTGACACGTGATAGGGCTCGCTGTAAGTCTATGATATTCCCATTATTCAAAGCAATGAGTTCTATAAATGCTTTTATTTTCAGATAGCAGTGGGAGACTTGGGGGGGAGGGGGGAGATTTTCTATGTTTAGAGAGATATGTGTCTTCGTAGTGTCTCCAGTCTCTGCGACTGGCTGATGACTTAGAAAAAATATTTTTGTTACTTGGCTTTTTTGACGATTTTTGTCTTTCGGTTCTCAGCTTTAAAAACGGGCGCACCACGAAGTAGCTACTGTTACGCAAGAAATTTTGTCTGGCATTGCTTTGCCGACGTCACGGAATAGCTACCTAAATTTTTCACAGATTGGCTACAGTCTGGTAGTATTGATACACTCATTCAAATTTCAGAATCTGAGTACTTGCACGTGTGTGTAAATTTTATTTTTGAAAAGCCTTCTTCGCGCGTTTTTTTGTGTGACATTTTTTCCCCTCAACTCTCTCCCGTATCAGAACATGTAGAAATAATAAATATAAACAAGGTCCTGGGTATTTGTCTCCTCCCCGAATTGTCTTCCCGAACTCAGGGTACATTGTGTTATGCCCGGACGGAAGACTATCATAGAGAAAAATTATAATGCATTAATTAATAACACGTGCGGCTAAAACTATCTTCATTTCATTTCAGTACTCCACATGCGTATTGTTTCTACAATTATCAAAGTTAAGTAAAAGTAAGTAGCTACTCCGTGGTAGATTTTGGTAGCTATATTCCGCAGTGTTTGTTCTATGATCTCACATCAAAAGTAGGCGGACCATGGGTAGCTACTCTGTGGTGTAGCCTTAAATACATTAGTATTAGTATTGTTATTTAGTATGCTGTAACGCCTGTACACTGATCAATGAATTTTTTTATTAATAATATTGTCTCAATTCTTCAGGTGTTTTTAAGGGTCACACTGTTATTATTACCATCTTGGAGTTAAAATTAGATCTGAAAAAAAAACACCCTAATGTTTTACCTCCATGCCACTCAACTCTGGTTCTTTGCTCGTGGATGTCTTGAGTTTTAAGAATTTGGGCTGTTTTTAGTCACCGTGCGATTTTATCGAGTACTTTGTGAGTGTGGCAGAGATGATTCATTCCATCTTAAAAGATGTGGGAAATATTTCACTTTTGCATAAATTTTTAATGTTTTGATTTTATCCTACTTGTTGTTACTGCAATAATTATGTTAGACTATTATTCTAGATGTGGCAAATGCTATTATCATAATTTTGAGCACAGACTTCTTATACTTTTGTCTGATAACAACATAATCATCAAAATGTCTTCAACATGGAAATTTTTGCATATTGCATGATTGAGGTACCATCTTCTTAACATGAGATGAACAGTCATACATATATGTATATATATATATATATAGTTTGTGAAATGAATAGTCATATATGGTATGTGTACGGGCATTTATTTGCATAATTTATACTCATCAAAAGTCTACGCGTCTTGAAAAAAAGTAGTTTCATAAAATGATGACCGTAACACATTGAAACGTTAGTATTTGTTTATATTGGCAGAACTTGACTCAGTATTGTTACTTTCTTTCCATTTGACAATGCTGTTGTGCATCAAATCAAACTCTAACAGCACACTTGTAATGTGAACGTGTATTCCTCTTACTATGGCCCATGGCTGCACCCTATGCAGTTTCCTTTCCGTTTGAAAGTATTTTTCAAAAAGTTTCGAATCTGCCTTTATGTGTGACTAACAATGTCTCAACTAGATGTTACTGAACAGGATACCTCCCCCAAAAAATGTTTGCCCCACTGATGATGTGCCTGTGCATTATCTTTTGGTCACAGATTCTTTCAAAGCTATTAACTTAAAAAGGAATGTTTTGCAGGTTTCTCAGCAGAAATTTGTAGCCTACTTACTTTTATTTTTAAGGGAACGTGTTTAGTAATGCAAATGCAAGTGAAATCATGGTTACCTTTTTTATTTTTTTAGGCTTGTATGCTACAAACTTGTGTACAGATATATAACGTACTTGTGACGATCCGAAAGTTTTGAAATGAGCTCGTTCAAGTGATTTTTCGGAACTTTGTCAGGTAACCAGAAACAGAGACTATAAAAATCTACTATTATTATAAACCGCCCACTCTCCATCCACGTCTCTTGATTTTAAAAATCTCACATCTCTACTCCATACGCTAATCCTCATAGTGTGTTCATTATGGGACCAAGGTATGGTAGTGATCTGAGTCAAGGGGACCTCAGCCAGTTGTTACCTGTGTCAGAACAAATCTGAACCCGTCCATACGTCCGTCATCAGATCAGAGGAACGAAAGTTTTTTCTTTGTTTTTGTACACCGCGTCCACCACTTTTCCTGTTCTGTAGCAGCCTCGTTCTTTGGCCCTTATGCCGTCTTTTCTCCATTCATTTCATGGAATGAGTCTGTCTGATGCGTGTAGGATGCTTGTTGAGAAATTGAAAGGTTCCATTGCAAAATGCACTAAACGCTAAATCAAATCTGGGCGTATTTCTGGAAAAACCCTGTCCACTCCATAATCTAATGACAAGAATTGTCAGGGGAATATTTTTTATTTCTCAAAATGGACTGAATCCCTTGATAAAATTGCATTTAGTGATTTAGCTCATACTTTTTGTTTTCAGAGAATACTAAAAAAAAAAATGTTTCTCCTTTTTGTTGTAGACGGATATAGTGCGTTTTGCCATGGAGTAGAGCCTTTCAGTTGAAACACCATCTTGTCAGAATTTATTTTCATTTGGTAGATAGTTCATGTCATTGATATTGTAAAAGGGCTTATTACTCTCCATAGGTTTTTTGCTTCCTCAATCATGTAACATGTTTATCATATATTTATTCTTTGGAAATATTAATAAACGGTTCGTCCTTTTACTGCAATACCAGGCTTCATTTGTGGGTTTTTAAAAAAATGTTAAAATGTATAATCCCTCTTTCATGTATGCTGACTATTGAAAATTTGACGGGGGCTCTTGCGGCCTAGAGGTTAACGTGTTCACCTCTCATTCAATAGGTCCCAGTTTCGAATCTGAATAGCGAGGGAAATTTTCTTCTCTAAATTGTCTCCTTTCACCTCCTTTCCTGCTCTCTAGCAATGTTCTGTCGTCTGCTTTCGTCTCCACTTTCTGCCCCCACCCCTTCACCTCCTTTGCTGCTTTAATTCTCTTGAGGTGGTCACTTTTTCCAACATGGTTAATTAAAGACTGATGCAAAAGAAAATAACAGAATCGCCATCAAATTGCAAAGAAAACAAAACATTTTACATTGTTCATCCTTTTTAATAACCATTTCACAAACATAACATCATAAACAACAGCACATGTTTTAAGAAAAACCCACAATTTTATACATCTCAACAGCAATAATAAATTTGACAAAGATGATAATTTTCACTGTCAGCACTTGCTTCTTAGTTAATAGTTAATAATTTTCATGTCATGTCATAAGCCCTGCAGCGACAAACAACATTCATAATTCAGAGTAGTTCTTGTATACACATGAATCAACTTTTATACTGTAACTGTAAAGGGGGGGATATAACACATTCAGTTAAAAATAATAAAACTTACAGTTGTCCATTCTTTTCGTGAAAAGAAAATAATATGTGCTGCACTCTTGGTAAAAATAAGTTTTTTTTCCTCGTAATCTTCAAATTTCAGCAAGAAAAAGTTATCCGTGAGTCATTTCGTTAATTTTGATACGCTGATTCTGAAAGTGAAATATTAATAAATTTATTTTCGCCAGTGGGCCATCCAGCCAATGATAAAAACTATATCAAATTGTGGAATCAGCGCATCAAGATTCAAAACAAAATGAATTGCTGAGGACTTTTTTTCTCCCAGGATTTTGAAAATCACCAACAACAAAAAAGTATTTTTCATAAGCCCATATCATATTATTTTCTTATCACAAAGAAGACGGACATGTGTCAGTTTTAACTGAACGTGTAATAACCCCTTCACTCAGTGTATGAGAAGAATCTTAGCATTGACAGCTGTGAAGTTCCCAGCTTAATGCGGAAAGTTACATGTGAGCCTTTTGTTATCGCCTACACATACACACCAGTAAAAATTAAACGCACAAAAAAACGGATAAAGGATAGTTCAATCACACATGTACATACTCCAGTAAAAGTAAAAATTAAACATTAGAAAAAAATTAACAGTTCAATCAATTAACCCCTTCACTGCTGAAAAATGTCCACCAACACCTGTACCTACAAGATTAAATGTTAATTAAAGGAATATATAAACACAGAGAATTGTTTCAGAATAAGCAAAATCACAAGCTGTAACTAAAACAACTAAAACTTTTGTCAACCAGATGAAACAATATGAGTGGAGAATACAAGCCAGAGCATACGTCTACCCAGCAGTGAACAGGTTAATAAAATTATTGTTTCATTCTTGACTGCACACACACTTTTCAACATGATTTGTGACACGACATGGTGGAATCAGGCGCTCGTCAATTATTGGGTATGTGGAGTTACTGATATCATCTTAAAGCTTGTTCATTTGTGAACCTTCTGATACCCATCTTTCTTGAATAGAAGCCGAGATATTTATAATTGAAGGAGATGGGGGGTTGCCTGGTAAAATTAATGAGAAAATTGATGCCAAAGATTGGTGGTTCCCATTGCTTGAGAGACCTTGGAAACTGAAAATTTACATTTTTTTTGTGCCTTCAATCAACGGTTTTCAGAAAAATCAACCCAGAAATATGTTTTTAAATGAACATGAAAGGTGTTGAGCCAAAAAAAGAAAATTCGAATAAAATTGTCCAGCGGCCAGAAAAATCCACTTTTCTTTGATTTCATTTTTTTGACGAGAGCCTGATTTCACCACGATGCCTCACATTTAGTAAAGGCAATCAGTCCACCAATAACGGTGACTACTAATGTTGTGACTCTCCGCACATCTTCTCTTTACTTCTCAGCACCATTACAGTAGCCTGGTGTGTAATTGGCACCTCTATCAAGAGGCCAGCGTCCAGCATGGCAATGACAGAGCGGAAAATGACATTTTTAGTTTTAGTGTTTTACGGCACTTGCAACACAATAAGATCATAGAAGTGCCGAAGATTAGAGCGAAGTGTTACAAGAGAGTAACAAACACAAAAAAGAAGAAGAGGAGATCAGGGCGATAGATGATTGATAGGTAAGAAGAAGCAAACCACACCAGTGCACCCTCCAACCACCCACGGAAAATGACATCATATCCGTGACTCAAAAGAATCTGGTAAAGGGCAGATCCCAGTTTATAACAATACAAATGAATAACCAGTGCCCATTGGCAAGATCGATTTGGTTCGGTCACCGGGGCTAACCAGATTTTCCTCCATAGAGTCATAGTCATAGAGGGAGAAAAGCTACCATGAATGGTGGCATTGCATAATCCGAACGAAACCGACGATGACCTTCCAGAATAGACGCATTTGTTTGCAAGGCCACGAGTCGAGAGATTGGTTTGAGGCAGGGGTCTATTTATTTTATAGTGTGCACTGAAGCAGCCAGAAGCTGAACAGTACCAAACCAAACTAACCCTCTAATGGGCATCGCCTATAGGATGAAAAAGAAAAAGAGCGAGAAGGAGGATCGGAAAAGACACACTTAGACTTAGAACGGTTTTACTAAGCAAACCAATCTTACCCAGACAGATTGGCAGAACAGGATTTTGGTAAAGTAAAAAACGAATTAGAAGTAGAAGAATTCCATCACATATATTATATATAATATATATTACTCACATGTTCAAGTCAGAAATATGAAAAAAAATTTATTCAAGCAATAACAACACCATCATTTTCACAAAGTCGAAATATATACACAAATACACTAGATGTACCAACTCTCAGAAACAAGTCTCTTATTCTAAGAATATTGCGCTACAAACGTAAACGCAAACACCTTCATAAATTTATGCCTTTCACTTCACTCAAACCTGCACACAACCAGTGAGCATGAGAAAAGATCAATGGTACATATTACTGTATAATATACAGTAGAGTCTGCTTAAACCGAAATCTGTGGGGGCGCCAGATTGTCTTGTCTTAGATTTAGAATCTAGCTGAGTTTTCTGTTTGGAGAGGTTGTTCAAATATAAATAGAATTTTTCAAGCAAGAAGGATTTAAATTTTCTTTCGGTTTACCAGTTTTCAGGTTAACATTAACAGTGTTCGGTTCACATCATGAAACAGCTAGAAAAGGATGCACAGGACAGGCTTCCCAGGAGAAATGTTGTTGATAGCCTATGTACCACTGGGAGTTAAAAAGGGCAAGAGAGAGAGAGAGAGAGAGAGTTTGGTTTAAGCAGACTCCACTAAAATTCAATGCGCAAACACCAGACATCCACACAGCCATCGAGTCATTCACACTGCTTGTCAACAATGGGTCAGTCTTGCTGGTCAACAATAGGTCAGTCAGTCTGGCTTGTTGGAGCTGTGTTCCTGTTCTCTTGTCAACCAAACCTGAGACACAAAATTGGAAGACATCCTCAGTTCAGTGTCTGAACTATACGAGCAATAAACGCATTGAGCATATAAAACATTTATTCATGAGCAGACCCCTTGTACTTGTCTGCTAACATCTATTGTCCTTATCTCCACTTTTCTGTAAATTTGTAAGTCACTCTCTAGTATTATATATTGTAACAACTCAAATCTTCACCACTTAATTATATGACCTATTTGTTTTTCAAGTGTTGTAAAACTCTTTTATCGGTACTAAAACTAAACTCAACATAAGCAGGCATGTAATACAAACTTTTGGCACAACAGAAAGTCACTCACTCTGTCACTCGCTTACGACTCCAAATGCAGGTGTATAAATTTTTAAAAAGCAGACAATGTGATGCTGACAAAACAATCAAAGAATATTTAACCAAAAAAACAAAACAAAAAACAATAAATGAGAAAAAAGCATTTGTGTCCTGGAGCAGTGCACAGGGAAAGCTTGCACGTGATCTTTTCTCTAAGGGCTCAAAGGAACCCTAAGGTTTCTTTATGAACAACCTCAAGGATTTTTTTGAGGAACCTCAGAGTTTCATGAAAAAACACAGCTTTTTTGTTTGAAAAACCTCAGGATCTCATGAACAACCTCTGTGGTTTCACGAGCATTGCACATACACCCCATTATTTTAACTGTAAGTATTTGTCAAATGTACAAGTGTACAGTCTTGCATGCACATGGAGAAACTGGCAGGATGCCAAAATCTTTTCGGTATGTACGAATTTTGCTACGTACATGTTTTAAATATTCAAAGGAAATATCCATTAACAACATTACAGGAGAAGCTTTAGACGGGCCAGTAGAACAACTGAGCAGGATGGCCCAGAATATGACAGATACAAGAAACAATTTATTATATCAGGACCTGAAAATCTCTTCCCTAGGTGCGTGCTAGACTGTGAGTGTATTGACTACAGGGTGCAGGATAAGAAAAAGTTCTTTTTCAATTAGCTTATATTTTGATGAACACCCAGTTTGCAATGTGTAGACATGCAGACAGTACAATGTATAATAGTATATGTATAAAAATAAAATTATATAAAACTGGGTCCATCAGAACCCTGAACACCCAAGGATCCACAACATATTACAATGAACAAATACATCTCTCAAACACAAAATCATAAAGTAAGGGAAAAGTTCAGTCAAGCTGGTCAACGGAGCACCACCTTTATGCTGAAATATATATATAAAGTGAACACTCTAGCCCCTTACGGGGAGTGCAGATACAGATAAGGCAATTTTGTAGCGTTCCAAGAACTATTACATCAGCATAATATAACATATTATTAACACCCAACGTTTTTCACTCTTTGGCTGAACACATTGCATGCAACTGTCCCCGTCGTTTTAAGCAAAAAAATTTTCTGAAATTGTGCAAACTGAGCCCCAAAACGTGAAATTATGCGATTCTGTATATTTTCTTTTTTAAACAAAGAATGATAAAGGAAAAAAAATCTGAAATTATGCAGAATATGATCAAATTTTGCTAACTTATTCAGGGTGCATGAAACCACGGGGACAGATGTAACACCCAATAAGCAATTTCATTGCTTTTTAGAAAGTAGATATCTCTTATTAAGTTATTATGGAATTGGACTCACAACAGAAAGGTTGTGGGTTCAAATTCAAACTGCCAGGGCCCTGATGTCATATCCTTGGTAAAAAGGCACTTAACACAACACAAATATTTTTCGCTTCACTCAGGCGGGAATGAGTATTGAGAATTGCTATAGACAGCAACAGATCTTGTCAGTCCTTTAGATGTAGAGTTTAGCACTTAATCAGCTGGTTACACTGTATGCTTTCTAAGAAGCCATGAATGTTTCTGACTGCTCTACTTTGTTGTTTGTTTAGTATAGGGTTTTACGGCGCTCGCAACTGCATAAGGTCATATGAGCGCGCGGGACACACCTAATACTTTTTCGTTGGTAGGAAATTTTGAATTTTGCCCGGGTGGCGGCCAAAGCCTACTCTTATCGATTTTAGACCACCAAGGGATCTTTAACGTGCGCAACTTGCACACGGGCCCTCCGAGATTTTTCGCCCTTGTCCGAGAAGGCTAGGTGTAGATCTTTAATAATAATAGATAGCATTTGTATAGCGCATATCCCCGCTCAGCAGCAGGCTCTATGCGCTTTACACTATATTATCCTTCCTACCAGAAGATCAGGGGTGTGGCAGAAAGACAGCAGTTAGGAGGAGCCAAGGAGTAGCAGTAGAAAGGCTGCAGAAAGAGTCAGGAGCCTAGAGGAGGGGGCAAAGGAGGTGAGGGGGTGGGGGCAGAAAGTGGAAATGAAAGCAGACAACAAAACATTGTTAGAGATCAGGAAAGGATGTAAAAGGAGACAATTTTAGAGAAGAAAATTTTTTGGTCGCTACCCGGAATCGAACCCGGAACCTTTGAATGAGAGGCCAACACCTTAACCTCTAGGCCACGAGAGCCCCTTGACTGCTCTACGGTCTGCTGGGGTAATCATATCTATAGATTGTAAAGCGCACAGAGCTTGCTGTTACTAGAGGGGACATCCGCAATACAAATACTATTTATCAATTATCATTATACTGCTGTTATTATTAGGAAAAACATCGACTGACATAACTACTGGCTGCAACCCTTTTTCTGAAAGGCTCTTATGTAATCAAGAGTGGATACATCAAAGACAAAATATTCATGTGATAACAAATTGTGAGGCATCGTGGTGAAATCAGGGGCTCGTCAAAATAGTGAAATCGAAGAAACCGGCATTTTTCCTGCGGTTTGGCAATTTATATCCAAGTTTTGAAGCCAAACACATTTTGTGTCCATTTAAAAACATATTTCTGAGGGGACTTTACTGAAAAACATTGAGATAAAGGCATAAAAAAATGTACATCTTCAGTTTCCAAGGACTCTCAAGCTGTGTAAGTCACCACACATAGGTGGACATTTCCTCGCTAATTCCACCTCTAAAATCAGGCGACTCCCACCTGCTTCAGTCCCAAATATCTCAACCTCTAGACTGACGGGTATTTTTTTTATTCGAAAGAAAGACAAATGAACAAGCTTTAAATTTAAGATGATACCAATAATACCACATGCCCAAAAATTGACGAGCCCCCGATTCCACCGCATCGTGACAACACAACTGTATATAATATAATATAGTCAGCATCTTGAAGCCACTCAAGTGGGGTGCGTGTGAGCTGAGGAGGAGTTCTGACTTGCTCCAAGCATCAAAGTTTCCGTGTGATTAGGCAGCACAAAGTCTTCCACTCTTCCACCTCTACCTCTACACAATGGACAATGGGAAAAAGAGAGAGCGCAGAGTTACTCTAGGTTCGCACATGAATTGACAGCCACAAGGAGAGGAGAGCGCAATGGTATAGATTAAAGATAAACGGGAAACAAGCGTTGGCTAACACAAAAAGGAAAGTCGAGAGATTAGGATGATAGATGCTTGTTAGTAGGGAAGAAGGAGCAAACCACACCAGAGCAACCACCAACCACCCACGCAATGGAATGATTTTTTTTTCCTTTGTCACATATTACGAAAGGATAAACAAGCGCCATAACTTCAAAAGCATAGCATTTTCTCTCTATTAAAACCCTATATTTTCGTGGACTTCATTCATGTCAAATGATACAAAACATTTTTACTTATGACATGTAATTCACAAAGAAGAAACAGCCAGCATCAGAACCTTCCATATGTGTGGTGCAATAATATATTCTGACATAATAATAAAAATTAGTTTTACTAAGTGTTTTACCGCACTTGCAACACAATAAGGTCATAAAAGTGCAGCAGATTAGAGGTGTTACAAGAGAGAAACAAACACAAAAAAGAAGGAGGGGAGATAAAGACGATAGATGCTTGATAGGAAAGAAGAAGCAAACCAAAGCAGAGCACCCGCCAACCACCCACCATAATAACAATGAAAACAAGAATAATAATAATAATAATAATAATAATAAAAATAACAAAAACAGATCACTTCTGCAGCATGCACTCCCTGGTGGCTCTAGGCCCTTAACAATAATATAAGATATAAATCAATATTTCATGCATATTGAATACTGGCCCATTCAATGAACAACAATTCTCTCAAATACATGTACACTCATAAACTGACAAAGAACACACACACAAAAAGACAATCACTGAGGCTACTGATCACACTTGCCATTGGACAAAAGTATCAAACAAGTTAGTTTTAGTTTTACTAAGAGTTTTACGGCACTTGCAACACAATAAGGTCATGTAAGTGCCGAAGAATAGATTATGTGTTACACGAGAGTAACATGCACAAAAAAGAAGGAGGGGAGATAAGGACGATAGGAACGAAGAAGCAAACCACACAAGAGCACCCGCCAACCACACACTTGCTGTTGGACGAAGTATCAAACTAGTGAGTGAAATGGGATTTAAAGAAAAGGAAAAGAAAAGAACGGTATCAAGTCCAAGAGAATAAAAACTGAACAAACATCCAGAAAATAAAACAACACAGAAAAGTATGTATATCAAATATCCTAAACAAGTCACAAAACTGTCTGTACATTGTGGTTTCTCTGTAAGCCCTCGAGCTAAGACACACTTTTTAGTTTCAGTAAGAGTTTTACATCACTTGCAAAACAAATAGGTCACATATCATAATCATATAAATGCTGAAGATTACAGGTGTAACAAGAGAGTAACGCACAAGCAAAAGAAGAAGGAGGAGAGATAAGTATGACAGATGTTTAAAAATAGGAAAGAAGGAGCAAACCGCAACACGAGCGCCCGCCAGTCACAGATTAAGTTACAGTTACAAGTAGGTTCTTACCTTCCTGACCTGGCAGTAGTTAAGCAGCTCATAATACATAACAGAGATTGTGAAATAAGTTAAACAATGGTGGGAATGGCCATGTTCTATCTTGTACTGCATCCTCAGTGACAGTTAAGCACCTTCTTCATCCCATAAACACATATAAGCAAAAAAAAAAAAAAAAACAACCCCAACCTGTTGCAGGCTTTTCCACAATAAGAATTTATATCGGTACATGACATATGATGATTCAGTAAGTAAATGTATGATGGCTTAATTAAATTTTTTGGTCCAATAACAAATTCTAGTACATTTGCGATTCAGATTGACCTACTTCCATCAGCATTCATCCCGTCACTGACATTGCACGAGTACAGTTGTGAAAAAAACAACCACTTCCCACTTCCCCCCTTGAATTCTTTTCTTCATTATAACGACACTGTCCAAGACATCCACCGGTATAAGACAACCACTTGTCCTCTCAACAATGCATGGCCATCTTAGACAATTTCAACTGTAATTGCCATTTTAATTATTTGATGGGTAAGAGAAAAAAACAACCCCCCCCCCAAAAAAAAAAAACCCACCGGATTTGTTAAAACCCTCATCATGACACCACATCATTGCGAAACAAATCAACTTCAACGTTTCTTCTGTCCATCATGGGGTGACTGAGGGTGAAACTGATACGTCCTGCTCCTTTTCTTTCCCTCTATTGTTCTTTTTGTATCCCCATGTCTTCCCTTTTCCCACCCCTAATAGACTATATCGGTGTCTTTGTGATTCCTTTCACTTAAACAAACAAAACTATATCCAGAGGAGCCAACTGGCTACAAAAAAACAAAACAAAAAAAAGAAGAAAAAAAAGAAGAAAATCAGGAGCTGTTCAAACCCCATGTAAACGCGTGCGGAGACTCAAAATCTATGGATCATATTGCCCTAATACAACTTGCACTATAACAGTTTTTATATTAAGTGCAACGAGACACGCACAAGAAGATTAAATAAAATATAAATAAACGTATATACAAGCAGGGGTACATTAATTACAAAATCTGGCAAATTTCAGAAATATCCGAATCTCCCGATTTGTCCAGAAAGACGACATCTCTGACTATAACATCTGTGCTCTGTCACTCGTCTAGCCGCCTATGGATTAAAGCCCTTTGGTCAAACGCCACGTTGTCCTATAGAAGAGGCTGGATTAGCTTTTGCCTCTGTAAAGTAGAAACATTACGATGGAGTTACGTTCTATCTCTGCGACTGAAAGTGAAACAAATTTATAAGTGAACCTTTATTTTTTCTCTTAATTTAACTCACTCATCGCCAAGACCACAGCTGTGTGCACGTCGCAAATTTTCTTCTTTATTTCTACTACTGGTTAGCCAACATATGCAGCAACGCATAACGCGATTACAAGAGTAACATCCCGCGGATCACTTCAGAGCAGTTTCACTTGAACGATTTAGAGAGAGACAGAGAGAGAGAGCAACCTCTAGCAAAAAAAAACTAAATATCCGCAGATTCTGAAATTTCAGAGATGTCCTGATATAATTCAACAACCACAAATAATTAACACCACAACAACAGTTAGCATTAGTTTTAGTTTCAGTAGAGGTTTTACGGCGCTCGCACCTGCGTAAGGTCATATGAGCGCCAGTAGATTAGAGGTGTTACAAGGGAGTAACAAACATAAAAAAGAAGAAGGGGAGATAAGGACAATAGATGCTTGATAGGAAAGAAGGAGCAAATCACACCAGAGCACCCGCCAACCACCCACACAGTTAGCATTAGTGTTTGTCTGAATTTGTTTCAGTTTGAGTGATGAAAAGTACACCAGCATAACAACTCGTTAACCCTATCTGTATGCCCTAAGGTCATTTTGTACCCCCCGGGATTGTATTCTTCACATTTCAGAATACTTCTCGTACAAATATCTCTTTGAAATTTTCAGTATTTCTCAAAAAATCATTTGGACAGACTGCTATGCAGAGCGTACGGATCGGATTAACTAGTAAATTTTCTCTTTGAAAGTGGTGTCACAGAGTTCCCCACGTCGTATGGATACGATAGTAAAACACGACGTACGGATAGGATTAAGTGCTGGGAAAAAAGTAAGACACATGAGACAAAAAGAAAAAAAGAAGAATCTATCACTACTGTCTTCTAACCACTGGGGTTGGGTTGAGCGTTTCATATGACTAGACATGAAAGATTAGTCAACATCACAAGAATATTGAGAGTTGAGAATGATAATTCTAGCAAGGCCATCCATATCATGAATACACATAGCTGCCAATTTTTCACCAAAAAAAACCCAGACTCTACTCACACTGCCGGTCAAGATAGTGAGCACAGGCCAAGAACCCCCCCCC